TTTTGAATGTATAATCTAACAAAGTAAACTAACCTTGGAGATAAAGCTTGTGAATGCGATATGGAATTGGAAGGTATAGACTCAGACTTGGGAGTACAAGTTTGTAGAAAGAAAAATGCACTTTGAGGAAGAATTGTCTTTGTGCGCACCAAGAGACGACTTTATGACCACAACCATAATGATGAGTGGTTGGCTTTTGCACATCATTGAAGAAGAAACAATGCATATGAGGTCACCATGAAAATCGAAAAAAAAAAGGCATTGTGAAAAAATGTATTGCACAAAGAACAAATTTAGAAGTAGCCACTTTACATGCTTTCATAGACATGGAGATAATATTATTAACTTGCCCATTTTCAAGCATGTATAATATTGATAAGAGACAAAGTTAGGTGGAAAGATGGGGATGTTTTGTTGAAGAAATTAGAATCATGCTGGAAATTTGAAGTACTTAAAATAAGAGAAAATACTGGAGTTAAAATTGACAACATCTAATGCATTCTTTAAAATTCAAAAGACCGAAAGTTGTAGGAATATAATCAGTGTTTTCAAATGAGCACGAGGCTTACGCCTTGAGGCATGCCTCGCTTTGACTAGGAGCCAAAAGCATACGCTTTGGGTTCCCTTGTCAAAAGTTACACCTTGACTTATTGTGGTGCACGTCTCACGACATAAGCCTCTGAGAGGTGAGGTGTGCACTCCTTACTCTTGCCTTTTTGGGCTTCTTTTTTACCGGCCTTAACTTTTTGGGTTGTTTTTTTACATAGCTTTCAATGTTTCAATTTGTATACAGTGCAAATATCACTTTAGTGTGCAAGTAATCATTCATAATCTTGCAATGACATGAATTAGACATGCACGCATGCAAATAAATAAAATATAAATGCATGATGACCATGGCGAGCTCAGTATGAAAAGGCTACGACATCAGTAGTATAGCTCAGAATATAGCTGATGTTCCCTTTACTCTTCCAAAAAGACTTGGCTGATTGAGACCACTCCATTAAGTTTTGGTCATTCTATTTTTGTGTTATAGACTGAGAGAGCAGGGTTCTCATTTTGGACAAAAGAGCTGATTTGCTGTGCTTATCAGTCGGTCACACTTGTTTCTTGTTGTTGCAAACATAATTTTCAATGTTATCATTTTTTACTAACAAACCTTATTTTTCTAAAAGCTAGAAATAACTTTTAAGCACAGCCAAACATGCTATGCTGATTTATGACTTTGACAATTTAAGGCCAGAGGTATAGGAAGAAAACTGTTACTCAGAATTGAATGAGAATGACAAGGCGATGTAAGCCGGTAATTGGTGCTCATTATGAAGGCCATCAAAGAAGTTGGAAATCTTTTAACAATACCAATTAAATTTTGGAAGTGTGACTATATTTCCAATGGCTCTGAAGTTCTCCCTTTCCCTCTTCAAATAATCTAATTCTGGTTTCTATATTAATAGGATATTTGTTGATCCAGGTATACTGACAGTTTGAAGGACATAGACCCTCATCAGGTATCTTCATCCCCTCCCCAATCAAAGGAGGGAAAAAGGGGTTTCTTAATCATAATTTGTTGATCTTCTTCTTCTTCTTTTTGACACAGGCCGAAGAAATGTTTGATGCTTCTTCAAGATACCTCTTATTCCCTCTTAAACGTGCAGTAGCTGATGCCCTACTACCTCATCTGGAAATGGTTCCTCCAGCAGAATTGTGCCATTGGTTGATATTATCCGACATGTATGTTAAATTCTTTTTCTATGATTGTTTTCACCATTATCACTAGATGTTAGATTTTTTATGATTTGAGATTTTAGTAATATTTTTGTTTTCTTTTTACAAATATTACGCCTGTGATAGCTTCATATACCTTATAAAGGTTCAACAATAAAAAACCTCTACAGCGACTAATAGATATGAAACAAATTATCCAGGGATTTATTTGATGATGGCAGGCTAAACACCATTAGGAAGATAATATAATTCACACTGGGGAGAGCTAATTTATATGTGAAACGTTACAGGATTGTCCAAAAGCTTACAACTAGCTATACGAGACAGGCCTTCATATGCAAATAGGCATTAACCATTTTAGCCTCACTTGTAAACCCACTAAAGCATGATCCAGTTGTTTCCTATTAGTCCTGTAATGTTGCCCAGTGGTTTACATCAGCACGTACTGAATCACACAATATTTTTCCTTTCCCTTTTTTCTGTTATTTTATTCCCAAGCCTTAATTGTCCTATTTTCTTTCAAGTTCCTTGGTAGCTGAATGGCATGATAATTTTGACGTTTCTCTTCTAAACGCAAAATTTTTCTTACTTGAAAGCCATCATTGGACCTTTCAATAGATGTAGGCTAAATCAAAAGGAGTGGCGGAAAAGGATTCATATAATTGCCCTAGTTATTAGCAATAAGACTTGGCTTGTTTTTGTTGTTTGAAGAAAGATTATTTTATTCGTGATTATCATATTAGTAAACTTGTCAATTTGACATATTAATGCCTCAAGTCTTGCTCAACATTGATTATCAGACGTGGTTTTCAAGGTCATTCATAATTTCTGTCAAGCTTGGTCCTGAGTATTATTTTTCCAAAGCTCGATAGTCTTGCACAATCCTTGTGAGCCTTTTCATATTTTCTTCTGCCCTTTACCTTGCTATCTTTCTGAAAATGTGCAAGGCCTAGCTGAAAGCTTTTGTTGCCCCTGGAGTCTATCTTATCTACTGTAGGCTATTAAAAATGTGATGCAAAGGTGAAAATATTCTTGTGCATTCCTTATTCATATAGTCCTTGTGTGTCAGTCCTGGTTTACGAGCTCTTCTGGAAACTTTCCTATGAGTGGAGTAAAATCCTGACAATCAAGAAAAAGAGAACTGAACCTTTTACTTGAACTTGTTACCCCTGGAAGCATAGGTTTAAAGGATATTGATATGTAATATTCCTGTTACAGAAAGGGCTTTAAACTAACTATAATAATACTGGGATATATAATCCTCTTGAGCGCTGTCAGTTTGACTGGCACTCTCGTATTAACTGCATGTTTAATCCATTTTAATCCAGTGCAGATGGACGAGAACAATACTAGCCGGTGATCTTGGTAACTTGGGGACTTGGGAGCATGTTTACATTTACGTGCATGTTTCATTGTTTGGAAGTAAATAATAATTGTGTAGATTTGGAATAAAAGAAAATTTGAGGGTTTGACTTGTTTTTGCATTTCCATTCCTTGAATCTTTGATTTGTCAATAATGCATGGTGAATTGACCATTATTGGGAAACCAATTGTTGGAAAGCCGAGAAAGTTCTATATTTGCTTGAAATTGTCTTTGTTTTGGTATTCCTCAAATATTTTGTTGCATTTGAAGGTATGGTATTTCAAAGATTCGGGAATATTGTCTCGATGCAATGGCTTGCAACTTTGAGACATTTGCTGAAACTCGAGAGTTTCGGGCAATGCTTTTGACCCTCCCACCGCCTTCTGGAGATTCGTCTCTTCGAACAACAGCTCCAAGTGCTCCAGGAGCTGAGGTGAATTCAGCAGAAGAAAATCTCCTCGATGATTTACGAGAAAAATGGCTTGAGGCTGAAGCTTCTGAACTCGACAAGAGAGATGAAAGCGCCCTACTTTTCGACAGGCGTCTTGAGATGCTTATGCTTGTAGCAGAGAGAGAGAAATCTGATGATGATGGTTTTCAATGTTCCCTTTCTGCATCTTCAGCTGTCATGCAAAAATGATAGGATTTTTTGTCCGACAACCTTTTCAATATATATTAAATTATATTTTTATTGATTCTACACATTTTGTAGTCAGCTTAAATACCAAGAAAAAGAAGTGCTGCTGTTTAGGTCCATTGATTTTGTCGAATAAACTTGAAAATTTGTAAGTCTGTTGGTGGAGAAGAATTTTTACTTTCCAGTCATTGTAGTTGCATGATCAAGTCTGATAACTAGGATGGATCCATCCACGGCAATCTCCAGATATTGCAGCGAGTCCTTAGATACGGTTTCCAAAGGCAACCGGGCGGCACCTTCAGTTTACCATCCCGCTGCTCGAAATTTTCGTGAGATGGGATGGGATGGGAATAATAGATGGATTTTTCCTCTCTATCAGGCTTTCCCTCACAGGCTTTTTACAGGCTATCTCACATGAGGTGAGTCCTCGGGACCCACCTCATTAAAAAAATCCCCCAAAAATGTTAAAACACCCACCCACCCCATCTCACATTTCTGTGTCAGGTCTTTAACCGACCTGGCACAGCAGCTCGTCCCATAATAGACCGAGCGGTGAGGGGCAACCAGTTCGGCAACCTTTATATAAAATTTCTGTAAGTTTTCAATATATTGAAAGTTTTACTTTGTGGCTGCAAAAATCATGCTCTTGTATTTCTCCCCTTTTGGTAAAAAAAATGGACAATTAGTTTTTTCCTTCAATATATCTTCAACTTTTAACGTCAAACTTTCCAATCCTTAAACTCTACTCTAAACTTTAGCTCTACTACTGCATGTATCAATCATCTAATGTTTTTAACTGCCCTCTCTACTTAGAATTTCCAAGACAAAGATTAGGAGAGGGTCTACCGTGTTTTAGAGAAGACAACAACGTTTGTTTTATATTTCGCTTTTTCTTATTTTCTAGTTTATTTAAGGATTTTTTTTTCATATTCATGCCCTCCTAACAATTTATTTAGACACAAAAGTAATTCGGAACAATAAAGTATAACAAAAACAAAAAAAAAACAAAAATTTAGGGAAAAGGTTCGAAGAGCAAAGACAAAAGAAGAATATTTTAAGGGTGTGCTCGAGTCACATTATTTTGGAAGAATGTATTTTAGAATAGTAGATTGATTGATAATGTGTGATTGAAAAAGAAGGAAAAATTATTGATGTGATGAAAAATATTATTTTATTGAAGAACGTACGGTTGAAAATGAGTAGAATAGTGAGAATGAAGTAGAATTACAGTGGGTGTGCGCACCTTCAAAATCGAGCTTGGACTGGATCTTGGACAGGGCAGGAAAAACACACACTGATAGTGCAGTGTATATTTTCGAGAGAGAGAGTCTATCAAGAGGTCTAAGAATTGTATTGTGGTGGTCCCCTAACCCTAGAGTAAATAGGATTCAATCTCTTGAAAACTCTAGTCTTCTTAGCCCCTATCGAATTCAATCTCCCATGCGTAGCCCTAACACGAGGAAATACCAGTGCCACTCATAACTAAATGGTGTTATCCAGGGGACCTAATGGATCCTTGTAATCAAAGCTCTAATGATTAGAGCAAGATTCATAGTTAAACTTCTGTGTATTATGGACATTTATATCATTTTCAATAATTGCAACGTGGTTAGCACTTAGTGAATTGTCCTTGAACATCCTGGATCATATGCCAAGGGTTTAAATTGGCACAACAAATTTAGCTGGTGTGAAGTGCTACTGGTGGCCAAGTTGAAGATGGTTTAATGGGATTTTCAATGTATTTAATTTTGTTTGTTTCTTTGCAAGGTAATGTTTTGATTGAAAGTTTCTTCTCAAATGTGAAGCTATTGGGCTCTGCTTATGTTTTAGTGATCTCTAAATTCAGGAAGATCTTGCCCATGGAAGCTTAAAAGATGGAAAAGATGAACTTATTGTTGGTTCATGTCAGGTAGATTTCTTCTGTGACCAAGCATCTCCAATGGTTGATGTTAATTTTCCACCACCTCCACCATTAGGTGAGTGCCAGATTCAAAAGTTTAGGTTTTCCACATTTGAAGCGAGATGTATGTTTGCTTTTTACTAGTTACGACCTCCCACCCCCCTCGCATTTTCCTTGCTTCATTAAGTGATAGGAGATGAAATCATACATTTATAGATGTCTCCAACACTAAAATTAACTAATTACCAAGTGAAGAAAAGAACAGGATGCTTAGATGCAAACCTAACAGTTTTCAAAGTTGCTATTTGGTTCTTTGATAGTGCAAGATATTTGTTTCCCAAAAATCATTAGCTGAAATGTGTGGGGGCTCAACGAAGTTGGGAAAACGTTAGGTGCACGGAACATTTTAAGGGGATGGCGGGCCGATCTTGTCTGTTTACAAGAAACGAAGTTAGAGGTCATTTCGAGGGTTTTTGTGAGTTCTTTATGGGGGGACAGC